TGAGCCTAGTTTGGGGCGTGCAAATAAGCAGAAGATCGTTTAAGCAGAGAGTGAGCCTAGTTTGGGGCGTGCAAATAAGCCACGTGTGAGCCTGGTTTGGGTCCCTGCCACACTTCTCCAACTTCTTTCTCCTTGCTGTAGTACCTACTCATCAGTTGACCCTTGATGTGCTCCAACATACTGAGAATTGGCATTTCTCTAGCATCCAAGATATAGTTGTTGAAAACCTCACAGCTATTGTTCAAAAGTATGTCACACTTGTTGTAAGTGCTAAAAAATGCCCTCACCCAAGTGTTTGGAGCCATCCTTTCTAGCCACTCATATGCCTTCTGGTTTAGTGCCCTCATTTTATCCAAGTTTCTATTCCATTGATCCACAGTGGTGGACCTAGCATATTTCCATAGTTGTATCTTCATGTTCTCACCTTTGAAGTGCTGCTGGAAGTTGTTGTACAAATGTCTAACATAGAATCTATGCTCAGCTTCAGGGAAAACTTTGCTGCATGCTGGAATGAGGCCCTGCACACAGTGAAAAAATAAATTAGGTCCAAAACATCAGGTAAATAACAATAAGAGTTACTATAACAGCAATGAATCATCAAGTTCTCACCTTTTGTTTGTCTATCATAAGTGTCCATGGATATGTGTTTTCAATGGCAAGGTCTGCCTTCAAAGTTTCTAAGAACCATTTCCAGGTTGCTAGTGACTCAACTTCAACAATTGCTAGAGCTATTGGATAAATACAATTATTAGGATCAATACCTACAGTTGTCAGCATTATCCCCCCATACTTGGTTTTCAAGTGACATCCATCCAAACATATTAAAGGTCTACAACCCTCAAGGAAGCCCATCTTGCAAGCATCAAGTGACATATAAAGTGAGGTAAAAAGATTACTATTAAGGTTCCGATACAATGTGTTGCCTAGCTCTTGAGCATAGTCCCACAACAGCTTATATTGCTCTGCTTCATCACCCATTACGCTTTTCATTGCTATTATTCTAGCTCTAGCAAGCTTTGTCCTAGCCGGTGTCAGATTCCACTCTTTTTGCACTATTCTAGCAAAATTCCCTAGTGTCATCTTCTTATCAGTTCTGAAAGATTCCAAGTACTTATCAGCAAGCCCATTGGATGTGCACCTCTTTAATACCCACTTCTTGTGGCAGTTGTGCTCACCATAAAAATTCTTTATCATCATTCCATGAGCCCTCCTGTCATCTAAAGCATACAAATTTTAGGGACATCATTTCTCACATAAGGCTCGCGGCCTCTTCTTCTCATTCCTTGGCATCTTAATATCCACCCTGTGCTTCAAACTATATTTTGTAATAGCCTTCCTTAGCAACTCTATAGACTCAAAGATCATTCCTACTTTGAACACTAGATTGACCAAGTCTTCAGGCTTGAATGACTTGAAATTGAATGTGACATTGTTTTCAGCATCAGAGTTTAGAACCATTAACCCTTTATCATCAGTTGAGAAATCCTCATCACCTCTGTCCACCACAACTTGAGCTCTCTTTCCCTTGGGTACCTTCTTTCCCTTGGCAACTCCTTGATCAACCACTTGGTCATCAACATTATCCATGAATAGATCATCATCTTCATCAGCCAGATCATAATCACTATCTTTAAAATCCGAGTCATCTTCACTAGAACTAGATTGCACATCATCTTCATAAGCTGCATCCACATCATCAGGAATATTGTTCATGTTCCTGTTCTGCACTCCCACTCTACAGGGGCTCATAACCTTGGGCATTGACTTTATTGGGTTTGCCACAATGTCATCCCAATCCAAGCCAGCTAGAGAGTCATCATGATTAGCATACATAACAAATATCATCACTATACCTACCAGATAGGCCATCACCAAGGTATCTGAGTCACTAAAAATCAACCTAATGCCATTTGAAATGTCTTTCCTAGGTAAAAGCCAATACATCTTCAAATTTAGGTTCTTCGGGTAGTGAAGCATGAACAACAACTCATTAAACCACACTGGAGACCAAGTGTCTGCCTCACAATGATCAAAGCAGTGAACTTGCCCACCAACATAGGACCGATTAACTCTTTTTCTAGTAAAAAACCCTCCATGATGCATCTCAACTGTGAACTCACCATTATCAGCTCCTAAAATTGGAAAGATTGCTAACAAATTAGGGAAGATTCATACAAACTAAGCCATTTAACATTATTGGGAGAAATAACAGTTCAATCCCAAACCTTAGAAGAACCAAAATCAGAAAAGATAGTAAACATTTGCCATTCCGATTCACAACACCATCTAACTACATTCAATGCGAAGACCAAGATTACCATGCAATGAGCTCAAGGGGATTCACTCACCATACACAAGCCGGCCTTGCCCTTTCGGCCATAACACCGCCACCATCGTGTAGATTCATCGCCCGACCACCGCGGGAATCCGCACACCACCGGACTTCAGTGTCACTCCTCCGCCGTGTTGGTGTTGGTGTTTCGAGTTACCACCAACGAGTAAATTTCTAGTATTGCGCGTCTGGCTCGGATGGTGTGCTTAGAGGATACAAGGTTTATACTGGTTCAGGCAGAATGTCCCTACGTCCAGTTCGTCGCTGTTGCTCATGTTACTAGCATTGAAAGTTTGTGGTAGGGGTTACAAACGGGCGAGAGAGGAACAGGTCCCAAGTCTCTGGTGGAAAGAGTGAACGGGTGCCGAGAGCTCGGTTGTAGCTCAGTCGTGTGCTTGTGTTGTGTTCTGGTCGGTTCGAGGTTCGATGGGTTCGTGATGGTTCGATCGGGTCTGGCCTCAATCGATCCCCTTCATGGGGCACCCTGCTTTTCCTTTTGTAAGCCAAGGGAAAGCATGGATTATAGCGGAGGAAAAGAGAAGAACGAGAGAGAGCCGAAGGCCTTTAGGATCGCTAGGTCCTTCTTATCCTTCATACGGGTCCTGCCGACCCTGTAGATGTCAACAGGAATGGCTCCACGTCGTGGCCCAGTCCGTCACTGGCGCCATGCGCAGGTGTCGTCTGCCAGTCATGGCGCTCTACTCTGTCCTAGCGGACGTCGTGGTGAACTGACGCGTCTGTCAGTGTTCATACGAGGGTTAGGCAAAACAGCACTGGTACGCCCGATGTTGTTCCTTATGTGAATTCTTAGGTATAGCCCGTCATGGCCGCGGGTTACATCGGGGCGTGCCGGTCTCCTCTCTGATGTCAGAGCTTTGACCTAGGCCCAGACACTTGGACCTAGAGTGGTTGGCGACGGCATGGGTCTCCGTCGGGCGAGGTGGAGCCCGTGGCCTCGGGGTCGGGCGAGGCGGAGCTCTCTCCCAGAGGCCGGGCGAGGCAGAGCCCACGGCCAGAGGCTGGGCGAGGCAGAGCGCAAACCCAAGGGTCGGGCGAGATGGAGCCCGTGGCCTTGGGGTCGGGCGAGGCGGAGCCCTCCCCTAGAGGCCGGGCGAGGCGGAGCCCGTGGCCTTGGGGTCGGGCGAGGCGGAGCCCTCCCCCAGAGGCCTGTGTGAGGCGCAGCGCAAACCCAAGGGTCGGGCGAGGCGGAGTCCTTCCCCAGAGGTCGGTCGAGACGGAGCCCACACACCTAGGGTCGGTTGAAGCTGTAGTCGCGCTCTTGACTGTTCGAACAAATTAATGTTGATGACCATTAGCCACTCCTCTTCGAGTACCCTAGTATTAGTCCCCGACAGTTGGCCTCCTAACTCACCGATGATTGCCTCCACTAGCGGCCGCCCCCCGTGCTCCCCACGAGTTCGTGTGTCCGTGATGGCGGACTCGAAGAGGTGAAGTACTGGGAATTGCATATGAAACGAGGATAGGGGCCTCTCTAGGCTCACGCGCGGCTCACGTGCACTTGGACCCAGTCAGCGCCACACTGTCCACGCCACGTCGGTCAAAACCTTGTTTCCATGGACCTAAGTGGCATACTTAAACAATATTAGGGTGTCAGAAGTACGATTTGAGAGTTTGTGGACCTAAGTGGCACCCCAAGACAAGTTCAAGGGCCTACGGTGTATTTAACTCTATATTTAAATTAGGAAAATAGACTAGGAAAAGTCTCGAGCTAGTCCTATTGTTATTTAGAGATATTTTGTGATTGAACTCCGGATAGATCTAGTGGTTTTCCTAAAGACTAAGAAGTAATAAACACGATGATGCATGACCGACTTGGCTAATAAGGTTAAATTCAACGTACATTTGTTAAGCCCAGGTACACTAAACTGGAATAATATACAAAGATCATAGGAAGACTGCAGTCTTTGCACTGAATTCATAACCAAACATGCCAGCCCGCCCAGCCATGATCCATTTCAGGCCACATTCAACGGCTAGGGTCTAGTAATGATGTGACAAGAAAACTTTAGCATTTTACTCTTCAATCATGTTCACCAAAGTCATGATTTCTCCTTTTGGTTACACGATCAGTTCTGAAGGCTTTCGGTGGTGGTTTTTCTTTTCTTTTTTCTTTCTTTTTTTTTAGAATAGCTTTCGTTGGTGTGCATAGTATATATAGTTTCTAAATTATAAGTCGTTTTAACTTTTTTTTGATTGGATGTAAAAAAATAATAATGTAACTTATAATTTAAAACAACGAAGAGGAGACTATGTAGGTCCAAGAATGGGCTTGGTTATCTCTTCCTTGCAGGCTGCAACTGCACCAGCCCATTAGCCCAACAACTTGTTGGAAACATGCCCAACAGATCCTGGCCCGTATCTTGCAACTTAGCAGACCACGCGTGTTGGAATTCCATCCATGTTCCATCGGACGTTCAGGGTGCAAGCCTAATTACCATGATTCATTTCCTCTAGAAATATACCAGGGTGCAAATATCTGCTTGTGCAAAACAGCAAATTACAGCTAAAGCTGGAAGAAACAGGTGATCACAAGTACACTTCTTACGCAGCTATGAGAGGTCGCAGAGGGGTTAAACTTACGACTCACACGGCTAGATATACAAAATTGAGGAAAAAATTATTGGAAAGGTTTCCCGAATGGGGGGCATCACTTGAGACCATCGCCAAGGCCCGCAGGCATTCCTAAGCTCTGTGCCAAGTCAGCCATCCTCTCTTTCATGGCCTGCAGGCATTAGTCCGACATCATTTTAGTATAAATATAGATTTTACATTCTCTACACAGCAATCAGCTGGACCTCCTTATCTTATCGTATGCAAGAAAAGCATCATCAAGATTCATACCTGGACACTCCGTTGATGTGCATCCTTGTAAGCGTCGTTGACCAACTCGGAAAGTTTCTGAAAGGAAACATAACAAGTGTTGGGATAAGCAAGAGATTGACAACAAAATAAAATGTTGCGGTGGCTTAAAAGGCTTTCCAACATCTCATATGCCATGCCAGGCAAACATCCATCTATCTTAAAAAAAAAAAAAAAAAAAAAACTAACTAACTAACTAGTCCACAAGTTCTCATCTTTATATCCAACCGAGTTTGACGCAAGATGCATCTCTTTCTTATACGAGGGTGCAAGTCATTGGGGTTTCCTATTTCCCATTCTAAGCAATGAATTGAATACCTTCCTTAATATAACCATCGGTGTCTTCTTATGCAGACAAGTTGTGTGTGTCATGAATATGAAACGCTATCCTGCATTCTGATGCACATGTTCACAAATGCACATTGTTCATAGGTCAGATCGTTTTAGCACACGTGTCAGTGGCCAATTCATATTCAGCTTTTTTAGAAATGGGTTGTTATAACCTGTAACTACATCCCTACAATCAATATCTATTTACCTCAAAATGCAAATAATCATATGAACAATCACTACATCAGTCATGACAGCATTAACTCACGCAAAAACTTCAGATAAAATAATCAAACTAGCAACGGAATAATACATACTTCAGCACCCAACTCCATTGCAGCTTCCGTGATTTCAACTCTAATAGGTTGCTGGTTTCCAGAAAGTGTAACCTGCCGAGGGGATCAAAAACAGTTATAGACCTAGGTAAGAAATGGAAGTGGAGAAATACAAAAGAGCTAAAGTGCTTAAGTTAATACACCGGTAAATACATAGGGCACAAAAGACCCCAATAACACATATGTTGTTTACAAATTTACAAAGATGCCACATTCTAGATGCTCACATGTATTGTTTTCACTTTTATAACAACACCTGCATGATACATCAACTATTTGCTTTGAAATGAACAGCTTTGCCGGTGTCCGTGTGTCAAAAACAATACATAAGAGTGACCTAAATATTTACTATACAGTTTTATCTAGACCCAGAGCTAATAAAAGTAAAGTGACTTTGTATACTTCAGATAACACAATTGAAAACCTTATAGGAAAGACAAGAATCATAATCTCATATATACTAATATACAGCATGACTAGGTTTTGAATAAAAAAACATTGATGGGCTGTTAATGATGCTAAGATTTTTACAGGCCCAATCATTAGTGTTTCTCAATAATGTAAGAATTCAACTGTTTGGCAGGGATAAACAAAGCTTAAATACAGAGAATATAAGATACCTTGATTAGTTCACCTTCACAATAACCATCAATCTCAGTCCTAAAAAATAGGAGAAAAATAAAGTCGCACAGATAGGCTATTTTGCATCAACATGAGAAAGATAACTTAATGATATAAAAGCATACGCTGCAAGCTCCTTCTGCACCCGGACAGCCTCAACTTGGACAACCATTTGGGCCTTCTTAACAGTTTCATATAGATTTTGCATATTACCAAAAATTCCTGCCTAAAGTTATTAAAAATATCAGAGGACTTCAAGATCGTTATAAACAAAATGCCAACTACGAAATGAGAAGATATATATATATACAATCAGAGTTATTTTTCACATGAACAATCACTACTCAAGTATCCAAACAAAGATAAAGCTTGACAATTTGTGTTCCATGACTCGCACCATAAAGAGTAGGTGTTAGCTGCCTGTGAAAGATCATTTCCCTAAAATTAATTGCATGTTTTTCTTAATTGCCTCATAAATATAGGGATAAGTCCATATCTGGCCATCAAACTATCGCCCAAGTCTGATTCTGACCATGAAACTCAAAAACCAAAGATCTTCGACCACCCAACTATTGAAACCGTTACATTTGGTGGTTTTTGCTGACATGGACTACACGTGTCAGTGGGGCCCACTTGTCAGCTTCCACCTCCGCCCCCCCCCTTCTCACCTTTTTCTACCCTCTATCTTGCCACTCCCTTGCTGCCACCACCACGGGCCGCCTCCTCTCACACACCACCTCTTCCTACGCGTCTACTACCGCAGCCACAAAAATGGCTCCAGCCAACTGTGAGACGCGCTGCAAAGAGGCAGCACGCGCCCCACACACACACACTCGGTACTCCTATCCCGCGCAGGGCATCATGGTGGCGCGAATGCCAAAGGCACAGGCACGGATACAGACCTGGTCTAAGTACAGGTGCTGCACATTCGAGGAGGCGGCGGGCAGTACCCTAGTGGAGGAAGGAGAACGGCATGCATGAGGAGAGATAGATGGTGTGGGGAGAGAGAGGTCTGACGAGTGGGCCTATTACCACATGTCATCCACATCAGCAAAAGCACCATTGAAACTAGCTCAATGACCAAACATGAATGGTTTTCATTGTTCAATGGCCAAAGATTTCTAGTATTAGAGTTGAATGGCCAAAATCAAACTTAGCTATAATTGAAAGGCAAAAAATGAACTCCGATAAATATACGTGTAATGAATTATCCACCAAAAAAATGAAATTAGAGTGTGTTTTTATTTTTGTTCTAGCTATTATTAGGAACAGAACCATAACAATAACACTGGAAACAAGATGATCAGTCAATTCCTTACTTTTGATGGCGCCTCATCACCGTTCTCATCTTTATCCTTCTTCCCTCCAAATAAACTGTACACTCGGAAAGGTCTATAACTAGCTCTCTTCCTTGTGGAACACGGCAAACATAAAGCACCTTCTATGTTTATTCTATTACCTGAACAACAGTCACAACAGTGGGCACAAGATGTTCAGATGTTACCCAATCCAATATCAAATTATCAGCAAGTATCAACTGGTAACTCAGTACAAAAGAATGGCAGCCTGGAATAGTGCACAACAGCCCATTTTATAAATATAAAAGTTTGGTTCAACAAAGCAACGAGAGTCCATAGTGAATCTAAAAGCCTAGAGTAATTTTCACATACTATGTAATTATCCATAGGCAGGTCCAGCTGAGTAATCGTTGCAAGATGGACAGTTCTACTCACTTTGAGACCCCGACTCGAGCTCAACGGCTCCAAGCCAGGCAGCCAGCTACCATCAGCGAACGCTGCTCCCAAGTCCCAACAAGGCCGCGCCTGGCGTTCCCGCACGCAGCCCCATCCAACGCACTAGACTACGACACCACCTCCGATGAAACTCTTCCCCCAAATCAAACCCCAGCGGGCCAGCGCATGGATAATGCGCTGTGCAACCACTGGGGAGGAACCGATTCCAGATTTCCTACTTAACTCCAGGAAGAACCGACCGAAACGGGGCGTAAAAGCTGGAGCGTTGGGGGACTTACGGGTAGGGTTCGACGCGGGCGGCGTCGAGAAGGCGGAGCGGAAGGCCGCCGGAGCGAGAGCTGCCGAGGGAGCCATCAGGGGGCGACGGGGAAAGGGAGGTGAGACCACCGCCCGCCGGAGACGAGGGAGAGGGTGGAGAGGAAAGGGAAATGGAAATGGAAATGGAAATGGACTTGATTTGAATAGGAAGGAGGGCAGATGGCTGATTTGATTGATACTTGTACCACTATACCAGGCAGCGCTGGCCGGCCGTGCGGGCAGGTTGCCCTTGCTGGTGGGCGCGTGGCGGAGCTGCCGGAGGAGCAGCGGCGGGCGGGTGCGGATGGGGAAGGAGGCGCAGGCGATGGGGATTATTTTCTTTGGCGGACAGGGAAGGGATAAGGAGTGACAGGAGCGACTGACGCGGGGCGAGGACGATGGTCGTGGCGGGCATCGAGCGGCAGGAGCGCGCCACCCCCCACCCCCCCCCCCGGTCGTCCCTTACCATCTCACCAGCAAGATGATTTGGGGCCGTGCAAAAATGAACGGTAACATTAATCAAAACCAATGTTCTAAATAGCAGACTATAGCATTTAGCGTTCTAAATATCAGACTATAGCATTTAGCGTAGAGATCTTCTCAACAGCTATAGCGTCGTTATATCATGCTGTAGTCCGCTATTTAGTACAACTGCATTGTAGCGGCAACTAGTGTGAGCCGCTTTCTTAAAAAAAAAAAAAAAAAAACTAGCGTGAGCCGCTATAGCTTTGCCATAGCCCGCTAATGTGAGTCATTCGGGTTACCTGTAAAGCTCTAAGTCAGATAATTCAGGTTTTCAAAAAATTAGATTTCCGAAATTTATCTTGACAAAATAGTAGCATTCCCAAACTATCTAAAATCAGTAAAATCATTGTAATGGACATAGCTATAACAGGAATTTTAAGTAATATAAACAGCAGTTCTTTAGTATCATTTCAGAAAAAGAAACATGAGTAGTTCCCAATTACCTCAAAAATTGACATTAGTAAACCACATAATTAGTCAATCACAACCAAATAGCATAGTCTTCCCATTATTTCAGATAAAATGGGTACATCAGGTACCGGGGACTAATAGCCGAAATACCCAAACTAAAATCAGATTCATCATATACTTACAATCCGAAATAGCGAGCCGGTAATTCAGGTTCGAGTATTCGGAGTCAGGTCCGGGAATCGGATTTTGTGCCAACCCCTAGTTGCACCAAACAGCCACCAAAACACACTAAGGTCACGGTTCATTCTTGCAACAAAAACTGGATTTGACGCACCATATTGAAGGAAAGCACAGCCTAGTGAGGCATGGAACAAAAGCTTGTTTACAGCACACGAGGAATGCTACACCACAGAAAGAATACACTGACTTTGCCGCAGTTTCGAGGGCTGTAGATGACCGAAAGCTGCAGCTGAAATGCTCGACGGGCGATAAACGGAGGATGACGGGGCACACGGTTGTGATCTGAAGATCCACCACTGCACTAGGCAGGAAATGCCATTAGGCAGGATGTGCATCGCATGCCACATACAGTTGAGATATGTACAGTGCACATTTCTTCGTTTTTTCCTGCCCTTATAAAAAGCAAATGGTTGCGCCCTTGTGAGTGTCAACCACGTTTCACTCCTCAGCAACACTGATCCAAAGAATTTCTGTTATTGTGCAACAAAGATACGAGAAAGATTCCAGCTAGGAAGCAAGCAAGGCATGCACTCACCGACTCTTGACTTCATCTGCATTGTTGGCAGATTGCCCTGCTACTTCGGCCTTTTTGTTCCGATCGACTGGTTTTTTGAACTGCACCAGGATCATGGTCATGTTATCGCACCCATCTCCAGCGATCATTGATGGAGCCAGGCATCTGTCAAGCACTCTTTCACACACGGCAGATAGACTGCTCTCCTGCAATTGTTTGCCCCATTCATGGTGTGTCACTGCCTGGCACTTCAATCTTACTAAAATGTTCAGTTTCAGTTGCGAATTTTAAAAAGAACGTGGTTGCTCACGATGTTTATACGCTCATGGATGAAATCCACCAACTGTTGGCTTGACATGCAGTCCCTGTTCATCAAACAAAGTAGTAGTTCTGTAAGAGGCGAATGGTATGTTAAAGCCAAGCGCTTGATATCAGTAAGAATGGCACGAGGTGTAAAGCTGTACATAGCGTGAAGGTACGGAAATGCAGGTAAATAGCCTTACCAAATGCCATCACATGCTACAACAACAAAGTCATCATCATCGCAGAGCTCCACCTAACAAAGGACAAGATTGCATGAACTTCCAAAGAAAAGCAACTACTATTAGCTTAATAGTTCCATAGCAGATAATGTCTAGATTTAGAGAGCTTACAACGTTAATATCAGGATTGGCTGTCACAATTTGCTTCTCGGGAGGCAGGAATTTGTTCTGTTTCAATTCCACATCTCCTATGAAGAGGTACTTGCATAATTAAGGCACAAAGCAAGGTGCAGCTGTATTTGAAAGAAGCAAGAAAATAACTAACCAATTGCTCTTGACAAGTTTAAACTTCCATTTACTCGTCCCATATGGATGAACCCCCCTGCTTTCATTATCCTTTCTCTCTCAACCGCAAGCTCTGGTTTGTGGTCCCTTGATAGATTGTATGCCTACCATGTATTTGACACAGAACAAACATATACTCAGGCTGTCAAGGATATCTTATTTATACTAAGGCAAGAGCACGAGTAACATACCTTTCCACCCCTTGAAATAACACATCGGGAATCACCAGCATTTGCCACAACAAGTTGGGAGTTTCTTATTAGTGCTACACATGCAGTACTCCCACATGTAGGCCCAGCAAAGTCGGAGTGAGGTCCCTGATAAATGATTATACATGTGACATTCCATGAATTCAATACCATAATTCAAACGATAATAAAGACATGGACTTCAGAATATCACATTTCATAATTAGCTCATAGTACATCATTAATGACATTATAGCTTCCATGTTTGGTGGCAGTTTTCTCTTCACATGGATTTCTTTTTCCATAAAATTTCAGCTGCTATTTGCAATTCACAACTGATACAGCTTGCAAGTATTTGAAAAGATATGATCTTTATTTTAATAAGTGGAAAATCAGCTGTGCATCTATTTTAGAAAAGTGAAAACAGCAGTAGCCAAATGCATATCTACCACAGACAAAATCAGGGTGCTGTCCAGCCTTGGGTGGTAACGGACATGCCGTGCAACGACATGGATCGTCTGCTTTTCAACGCCTCCACTACGGTCACCATTGGCGATGGCAACAGGGCGCGCTTCTGGCACCACAGCTGGTTAGAGGGAGAGGCGCCCAGATATTTGGCGCCAAACCTATTCAAACTGGTGCGCAGGAAGAACAGGACGGTTTGCCAAGAATTGAACAACGGTAATTGGATCATATCACTACGTACGTGCATCACATCGACACTACAGATCCAGGAGTTTGTTGGTCTATGGATCAGATTGCAGGGGGTGCAGTTACAGCCCAACGTGTTGGACACGATTACATGGAAATGGACAGCTGATGGAAACTACTCCACCCGCTCGGCGTACATGATTCAGTTCCGTGGATCATATCGGAAATTCCGGCATGAATTCATCTGGAGAGCGCGAGCAGAGAATAAGTGCAAAATTCATGCCTGGATCCTCCTACACAACAAAATCCTAACGGTGGATAATCTGCAAAAGAGAGATTGGCCCCATCAGGACCATGGTGTCTTGTGTAACGGCCCTTTGGAGACCCTTTGCAAAAGCCGTGTGGGATCAGGTGCTAACTTGGGAAAATTATCTGTGCAACTCCCACAACAAGACCCTGCCTTCTTGGCCGAATGGTGGGAAATTGAGGCCAGCAAGGTGCCAAAGCAAGACCGTAGGCGTTTCAACGGAATTGTTATCTACATCATGTGGAATATGTGGAAGGAGAGAAATTGGAGGATCTTCGAAAATGTGTTCCAAACGGTGCAACAGGTCACCTACTCGACCAAAGAGGATATAGTGCAAAGACATAGGGCAATGAATTTTGGTGTGGAGGCCAACTAGCAGTGAGGCGACTTTTCCTCTTTTTGGTCTTAGGACCATGGTGTTAGGCACCTAGGGTGCCATGTGTACATAAAACTCTTTTCCTAACTTAATTGAGCAACTGAGCTCCTGCCATTTCCTTCAAAAAAATTCACAACTGACACAAGTATTTAAGAATCTGAAACACGTAGAACCTATACTTCATTGGGAAGGGAAAATAGATGTACAACTATGTTAGAAAAGTGAAAGCAGCACCAGTCAGTTGCATATATACCTCCTCTGAAGCCCAATCATCTTGTTGACTATTTGAATCACTGCCCCTTGGAGACCAAATCAATCCTTCTATCATACCACTAAACTTGTTTATTTTGTCTCCAAGTGCAGATAGTTCTCGCCAACCTCTCTGTCCTCGCATCATTTCATCCATTCTGAAGTAGCACAACCACAAAATTAGAAATTGTCATCGTCAAGCTGACAGTAATGCTATAAAAATTTAAGCTTTATTATAGCTCCTGTGGGATCTGGTTCACCATATACCTGAAGAAAGCTCTATGGACAGCAGCTCCTAGGTCACCAGCTGAATAGGCTTCACTTTTGAGAACTTGACCATGCAGATATTTTGCACAGAATTTGGCAACCACTCTTCCTGAGTAAAGCAATCCATATGAGGTTGTGTGATGTTAAAGATTGGCTCTACAAATATTTGGCATAGCAGCATCCATCCTGAGTAGTCTAATACAATGGAACATAAAAGGCACTGATCGTTGTTAGTGTGCTTACCTCCATGACCATCAAAAACACCAAAGAATGCTGTCTCGTTATCAAGATCTAGCAATGCTGAATGCTGCATGGATGCACAGATTGTTGAATTCCAGATTGTTATACATTGTATCATGGAACAATTTCAGAAATGGCCTGACTGATAAAAATGCTAGGCATATTTCAGATATTAACTATGTGTGTAGTTGACACTGAACTAATTAAACTAATTGTGTTAAAGCACCAAATGAAATCAAAGGAATATCGATCGAGTATTGAGTATTGACAAAAGAGAGAGCTAATGCCATCAGTTGTTTGAGTATGCTTTTATTCTAATAGTGTTCAAGAAAAAAAAAAAGCATACTCAAACAACTGATGGCATTAGATTGTTTCTATGATGCTATCTTTCTAGGGGTGAAACCATGAAAAGCAACACATGCCCACATTAACTGTAACCCATAAAACGTTACTCGTCCTATCTCCAAAAGTTAATATTTTAAAAGGTTGTCCTACCAGCCTCAGTGATTCCAGACATTACAAAATTACATCCATCATGCACATGGGAGTCATTGGACCCTAATTCACACCCCTGGTTATGCAAATAAAATGCTAATGATGTTAATAGCCTAGGATTAGGAAACTCACAGCATCTTCCATGGTTGCTCGCCATCCTTGCATAGATGAAAGACCAAACTTAAGTCTATCATTTTCTCCATTTTCAGATAGCTTATCAGTTTTTGGAGTGCTGAGGTAAACCCCCATCCTTATAAGCTGTAGATTAGAAAAATCATAGCATAAGGAAAGAATGTGTGGTGATTAACAGAGGAGTAAACAGAACAGAACAATGACATACCAAAACTGATAAGGTCAGATCAAGAACTTGACAACTTAGACCAGTGTATCCACGAAATCCTGCATCAAACAAAATTCAGGTTTGAGCTCTGCTACAAAAGTTTCAACAAAACATGGGCACAACAAGAGGCATCGACTGATCCTTATTAACATAAAACCAAAGAACTTGTGCAATGAACCCCGATTGCAGCTTAGCAACATTGAATCACAACAGTAAACCAGACAGCCAAGGATGTGATCACCTAAAATACCACATTAACATGACAAATTCGCATTGCAGGAACTAGGAAGGATTAGCGCAGATATAACATGACAAGGATAGCTGAAACAAGAAACTAAAAGAAATGGAAGTGGCATTACTTCCAAGTAGGACACAGAATGCGGCTCCCACCCCTATCTATGGTTAGCAGAATTCAGTCCCTTGACATAGGAAAACCAATAATTGCACAATACAGTACCTGATGATCAGAAAAAGACAACCATCAACGAAACTCAGGTACACCTGCACAGGAACAGAACTTGCCAAATAACCCACCCCCATGGCTACCATATACAACGATGCAAACTAGGATTCTTTATTGCTTAATCCTTTGGCCAACCACCATCCATGATTATCCGAAAGAATAACATGACGAATCGCTACATAATATGACGCAAACAGCCTTTTCATTAAAAAAGGAAAAGGGTACTGACAAATGTTAAAAATTATATCCAATAAAACGAACTGATGGGCGATGACAAGAGCAAACAATGGGCGATGACAACACCGCAGCTGCTTTTCCTTAAAAGCCCGAGTTAGGTGAGACGAGAGTCGACCACCCGGCGGGTGCTCTAATACAAGATAAGTTTTTTTTTATATATATAAATACGGCTATCCAACGTTTGTTTGGCTCAACTGCAACAAACTTGTTAGTATTACAGAAACAAGGAAAATGGTTGGTTTGGAGTGGATAAACGTATAAGATGCTCCTAACAGGCTCGATCGTATTGAATTATCGATAGCGCCCGCAGACAGCTCCCTGTATATATTAATTAACCAAAAAAACAAAACGATACCCAGTGGATTGGCTCTTGTTGAGCCGCAAGATCGGACTGCCACAACACGAAACCGCCTTCCAATAATACAGTGTGTAGAATCAATCAACAATACCGAAGAAAGATAGCACTAGTTTCTTGGACTCTTGAAGGAAACAAAAACATAAATAATACAGTGTAGAAGCTGGAAGAATCCAGCGGAGAACTGGCCACGGCCTCTCTTGTGCCTGAGGCACGCGTACCTGCGTGGCCGGGCCGGATTGGCACTGCCGCTGGCGGCAAGATCCCGCCGCCGCTGCCGCTGGACCCGTCAACTCGTGCGTGCCTGGCCTGGGGAATCAGTCGGGGCTGAGGACGAGGATAGCGGCGACCAGAACGAACGAACAGCGAAGGAAGGATGAGCGGGGGTGGAGTGGAGAGAAAGGAGGACAGGAGAGTGCTGAGAAATGCTGGCTAGTGACTACCGAGGGAGATGGGTGGAGGCCACGAGCGACTGAGAGAGAGAGAGGAGATCGGCCAATGCGCCACTGCTACTAGTACTAGTACGAGTACTTAGCGCAGCAGCAGTCAACCACGACTGCCTCGCGGGGCCGCCGGTGTGGTGGCCCACCTGCCAGTGGCGAACGAGAGACGCGGTGCGATGACAGTTGGTACGCACTGTTCCTTCGTGCTCCGGTTCGATTTGGCTGAAACTGAAATTTTAACGTAAAACTGCTGGATTCCACACTCAGACGGACACTCTCGGAGTCTCGGAGCAAGCACAGACAGGCAGCGTCCAAAAGATTCAGATCCGGTCCGGGTGAGGAATTCCGAAATCTTCCTTCTCTTGGCTGGCGGTGGCGGGTGGGGTGAGATTGGATTCGGATCTTGTACTGGAGCCGGCGGAAGCACACGAAGCGGCGGCCTTTGAGATCGCGGGGAGGCGCCGTTGCGCTTGTGACTGTGAGTGAGATTTATTGTTTCCTTTCTCGATGTGCATGACGTCGCTGTCATCTCATCTGGCGCTGGCGGCTCACGGCTCACGCTATCACCTGGAGCGGCATGGGTTACTGCTACGTGCACCGCATGCACATACACGTACGGCGGGAGCTGTTTGAGTAGAAAACGAACGGGGCATATGGATTTCTCCCGCGAGTTCGTTTGGAAAAACATCGAGTGGTTTTCGATGAAATTCCGGTGTTTCAAATCGAGTCCTGGGATACAGCAACACAAGTATTGGCCTGTTTGCTTCTCCTTACGGCGGCTACAGTGGAGTACAGTTCAGAACAAGCGAGCGGGGCCATTGCCCATTGGAACTCGTACGTCGCTGTCCGAACGCAACCTCGGGTGAAACCGGGACCGGAAATGGACACGCAGATGCATCTCATCAGGCCATTTTCTTTTTTCCCTCCTCCTGTCTCGTGTAGAGCAGAGGAGAGGGGGGCATGTCACGCCATTGGAAAAAGAGTGGAAAACGATACGACTCGGGTTGAAATTGACACAGTAGATGAGATCGGGTGGAAAACAATCATTGAAATTAAAATTTTCATTATATATGATTATATGTATCTCTATAACACAAGTCTATGCAGCCGTAATGTAAATGTACATTTCTTTGGTTCGCTCTAGCGGTGCAGGTCGTTGTTAGCAAAAGCAGAGCAGGTCGCTGTTGCTGCTAACGACGTCGTACGTCTGAAACGCTCCATTCCACGTCTGGGCCACACGCACTGCACCTCGCACACACGTTTCGTGTCCGTGTTGGCGTGTGCTTTGCTGACACGACAGCTGCGTCTCCTTTGGATAGACGGACCGATAGTCTAGAGTAGAGGCAACAGGTTGTCAGGTTGGTGCCCTCTCCCCGTCGGTCCGTCTCTCCCTCCCTCCCTCTTTTCTATCCGTGGGCAACGCCATAGGTTTCACACACGGTGCGTGCTAAGCGCCCTCTCTTAATAACACGACTTGACACCATTTGAGTCCCAGGATTCTCCAGACAACCAACCTGTCTCCGGGCAGCAGCAACCTTGGGGTTTGGAGGAGGTGGAGAGATCTCCATGCATCACCGGGAAAATTGAGAGATGCAAAAGTGTTAACAAAGGGCTGGAACATCTGGAGATAAATGGTTACCATCAGATGCTCCGCGCCATCGTCAGGAAACGTCTCCAACATAGGAGTACATACAATGATAATGTCGAGATGCATTAAACTTCTGTTCCAACGTTGTCCAACTTTTTTCAAATCTACGCCATCCTTAACACCAGGCATCATGAAAAAAAAAACAAGTGTCCAAAGCGTGTATAGACAAATAGCTTAGCTACACACTACGTCAGTAGCGCACACGTTCGCATGCTAGAGCATGATACAACACATTCTCGTGCACGTGCGCACGTTAGTTGGAGCCTGCATTGTCGACGCATGCGCCGACACGCACCAACAGTACTCGCACGCCGTGCAAGATCTACACGAACCAGCTCCCACCAGGGAAGCCGTGCAAGATCTACATGAACCAGCAGCCCACCAGGGAAGAACAGAATCACAGTCCATACCTCGGTTGTCTGATGCTGACAATTCTGGGTCTGGGTGTATCCAACATTGGTTTTGAGCATAACACATCGGGTACATCTTAATCCACAAAATTTTAACCAGTTACAAACAAGTCTTCTCTACAAAACCTCAACTTAAAACCCTCGAAACTCCTATTACAGATGAAGCATGGAGCAGACCAGGGTCACCTGTGTTTACTGATGTTGCTGCTGGTGGCCTGGTGGGCGTGTAGCCCAGCTCAAATATCGCCTTGCTCCTGGGCCCTTCGGTCCAGGCAAATGGTGAATGGCAGGTCGGTCACCTCCCCTTTCTCCTGTCTTTCTCTCTGTCTCGGCTTCTGTCATAGTGGTCATCTCGCCCTCGGCTTGCACTTTTCTCGCGTACCCTATCCCTCCCGGCATCGTTGCCATGCGATCGGTCTCTACTGCGATTGTGCTCTCGATCCCTCTCCTGTGACTTCCTTGGAGGGCTGCGGCTTCTACTCTGGCTCCGACGCCGTTTCCTAGGGTAATCATGTGCATCGTCATGCCTCTCTTTCCGCTCCGATGATGTTCTTTCTGCAAAATAGAATATTGTTTAAAGTGTGTATAACTAGCTTCCAAAAACATATGGTGAGCATATACTAAATGCAGTTGAGGGGTACAGCATGGTTCATTGTTAGCGCATAAACTAATATATGAAGTTGTGAAAATCTCAATGATGATGGAAGTTCAAATCTAAAAGAAATGATACTATCAAATAAGCAGGTGTCCTTACTGCCCCTTACATACCAGAAGATCGCCTGTTGTTAGCACCATCAGTTGAAGTGGATAAACCGTATTCTGACTGAAGCCGCCTTCGATGGCTGGCAACCTTCCTCTCAATCTCATCCAAGTTACGCAGACCCTGCTCCTCAAGAGATTCACGGTACTGCATGACAGAAATTTCAATCTGCCTCAACTTCTGCCTGCAGAGAAGAAGGCATTGGAGTTAGTCGAACAAAATAAGGGCATGTTTGAAGAGGCTCCATGCAGCTCCGGCTCCAGTACTATAGCAGTACTGTAGCGGAGCTGCCGGAGCCCCAAGACAGTAACTCCTCCACTTTCGCAGTTATGTATTGCCAGAGCCAGAGCCGTTTTGCTTCGCTCTACAGTGCGCGTGGAACCGGAGCCACTGGCAGCGGCGCCAAACGACGCCTATGTATGTGCTTGGCAGACACTTATAAAAACTAGCATGGAAATGGTAAAAATATTGAACGCGGACAAGTACCTGTGCTCTTCATCAACAATCGTATCATGATGATGACTTGTGTGGTCAGTACTAGCTTCTGTTGTATCGACCTTTCCAAGATCATCAGCAATATCGCTTCCAGATGAATAGCTTAATCCCAAGCCTCGACCACCTTTTCTATCTTCATCGTCACTGATGTCATCCTCTCGACTCCATTTAGAAGCTGGCAAAACAGGATCATATTTCGGCTTCTTGCTTGGAAATGATTCAAGTTCGGCAGAAGCAGATTCTCCAGAACGTCCTTTACCAGCTCTCATATTGTTCCGAGAGACATCTAATTCATCACCATTAGGACTTTCACCAAATTTTGAAGTACTATGAGCATTCACACCACTTCCAATAGTATGCTGTTCACCCTGCACATATTTCATGTCAACATCCTTCTCATATACTCGTTCTTTCTCAGCCTCTTCCAAGTTAAGCAGCCTGGCGACCATCATTTCTTTACCACCACACAGAGAGAGGCCATTATGTCTACAGCGGCGCTCAAGTTCAGCTAGCGGGAGCCCTAATAGCTCCTTTGTTGCTGCTGCCTTTCCAGTAGCCAAGGCACCATCTTCATTAAGCTTAAATCCATCATTTCCATCCTCAGAGCTACCTTTCTTTTCAATTTCAGGTGCATCACCGCATAACGAGTGAAACGGAACGACACCAGAGTTGCCTGATCTAAGAAAAGTAGCCCTCAGCCCATTCAGAAATGCATCAGAAAACAGGAACCAGTCTGCCCAAACTTGTAGAACTTTCATAACCCTCTCCTGTAGAACAGTAATAAATCCATGTAGACATGTAAGAACATCAAGGATAAAAATAAGCTCGAGTATTCAACAAATGGCGCAACATAAGTTACCTTCAGAGCTTCAGCAGTAATCCTTCCAGTGATACTGCGGTACAAGTCATTGAAGCTCTCCATAACATCTGGCAAAGAAGCTTCAAACTTCGTTCGGAATGCAGATGCATTCTTCACAGGTGCGCTACTGTTATGAAGGATGTCAGACACCAGCATAAGCCGAGCAACCTTTGTTGGAATAGACGTCTCCTTGAGTGTCAATGATTCTGTAAGAACCTCAACAATCTGGAATGCAAGACAATGAACAATCATGCAATGAGAACTACAGAAGAGACATCATGTGGAAGAGAAAAGTCTAAAAACCAGAATCACAGAAGATTTGCCTAATAACAAATAATAAGCTAAACTATAAAGACAACAAAATTTTAAAACAAAACCAGGTCTCAACAGTTATTACATATCATCTAAGCGACGCCCAAGGAACAAAATAGTGTACATTGGTGAAGGAACAAAGATAGTATTTCATCAATCAATATACACTTTACATGCTGCAAATCGATACCATTTCAACAATCATTGTATGCATACTTTACATGTCGCAAGTTTTACTCACTTCCCTCTTATATAAAAATAAAACCGATCTTATCAGTCAACACAAGGGTTGTCCTTCAAACAGTCAGTCAACTGTGAGTCCGTGGCCACATGAATCCAGTAACTACATACACTCATTTTGTTGTTCACACATAACCATTAAGCTATTAACTGGTCTCAATGTGGGTGATTGGGTGTATAGATAAATAAGTCACAGTACCATTAAACAATGCAAAAGAGTGAAGAAAAAGAAAAGAAAATAGAGCTAATTAGATAATATTAGAAAGTACACATTACCTCCCCAGCTGCATCAGCATTATCCAAGGCAAATCCCATGGCGTCTTTTATTTGGCTCCTCTCTAATGTCAAAGCTCGCAGCATGTCCTCAAATTCATCACGCTGTGAGTTAGTCAATGTACGCTCCACTTCAACACGCTGAAGAGGGGAGCACAAATTTAGTATTGTAACAGAACAGCCATTTATTTATTTGACATCAACAGAACAATTTAATGCTCTGATTACGTCTAACAGTTACTTACCCTGCTTCTACCAGCAGCAAATGTAGATTGCGGTTCAGGGCTTCGGTTGGATGACAAGGGAGGTGGAACCCATCTGAATTGCATATTACATTTTTGTCAAGAAAGTCAATAAGCAGATACCATGCATATTCATCCTATTGAAGTACTGTTCAAAACTATTACCTTCCACTTCCTGTGATCATGATGTATGGTTCTGTTCTCCATCGTTGTAAAGTATCACCCTATGTTACAAATATCACAAGCTGTTAGCACTCTATCAGGCGTATCAGCGCAATCATTTTTGGTAGTTACTTGAAATTTCATGGATGTAATAAATATTGACTTGGTTCTCAAAAAAAAAATATGTTCCAGTCATAATATGGTCATAGACATAAAGTTCTGTTGAGCAAGAAAAACATATATAAACTAAGTGACGCCTATTTGACAACTTAACAAGTTCTCGTTGTGCAACAGACACAATGGACATCAGCAGAAGTGAAGCATAATACTTTTGATAGTCTAACTTCTAACTAAGAATAGCAAATATGAATGAATAAAAGGGACAGAGATATTATGCCATTAGAACACTGAGATGCCATTTTTAAAATTTTGAACTATAGAAAGCAACAAGTACCTGAGCAAATGAGTATAGCCTCCAAACATAATATGTGTGCTCTTTAGATTTAAGATCAAACAAGAAATCAAATATAGGATTTCCTCGCCCTCTCTCCATTACAGCTTGTTCAAAAGCACATCCACCATCAAGTACGTGCAGAGCCATTGTGTCAATCACATGCCGAAGACGTCCATCATCAGGTGGAGCAACCACAATATCAGGAACATTTGGTGTAAGGACCTATCAAGTCAATGAATCCATAATGTGAAATAAATCTACCAACAGATAATCACTCATTTAATATAATGCAGTATCACAGGATATCATGTTCCAGAAAAAACTTATTCAATCACATGAGAAGCAACAAATACGTAACCAGAAACCAGAAATTATATCTGTACTTATCAGATATTAGGGGCCTGTTTGGATGACTTGGACTAGCTGTTAGTCCAATTAAAGTTTAGGTGAAAGTTTAGGCGACTAAAAATTTAGTCCTTCGCTGTTTGGATACATGGACTACCGAGGGACTAACAACTAGTTGGGCTGGACTAAAAATTAGTCCTTTTAGTCCACCCGCTTCGATGGCCTAGAAGGTAACTCAGTGATCCAAACAGGCCCTAGAACAGCACGTAAGTTGAGACCTTAGATCAAGGCAGTGGTGTACAATAAGGGCATTAACTCGTGTGCAAAATGAGGACCTTTGAAAACATTAATATTAAGTTGTTCTCAGCAAGATAAGTAATGAATTTACCTTCAGTCTACAGTCTATACGATTCAAGAGATAAAGTATTTTCTAAGAAACATTGATATTATGAAGTACAAAATATTCATCCTTCACAATCTAACTCAAAGCAAGACAGCAGAATTTTCAATGTTAATTCTTTTACGGTGACACTAACAGGATAACCTAGATAGCAAGATCACTGTACTAGTGCACTCACATAAACCAAAAGAAGAAAGAAAGAGAACATGATCACTAGAAGGAACAAGTAAAAAAAAGTAATGCTGCAGGATAAAGAATGGCATCCTAGAACAAATAACAGATGAATTAATAACGGATCATGTACAACTTCCCCTACCAGCTCTGAGGTCTGTGGTGTAACACATGCAACAGCAGGGCCGCCAGGACCAGAAAGTATGACTGTACCACCCTGTATAAAATGAAGAAAAAGATCGTCAAAAACAACTCGCAATACCAAAAACATCACATTCTATTAAAACATGCAAATATATCATGAGAAAAAGTTCAGATGAAATCAGAATTTAATACAGCGCCAAAGGACAAAAGAAGCAACCTCCTTATTTCTGATTGCCATGTGTCCTGGAGGAGGAGCAGGCAAAGCCTGTGATGGAAGAGCAACAGATTTACCCCATCCAATCTTCAGTTCATAGTCATACACAACAACACCTGAAATAAATCATCAATTAAGCTGAAGGTAAGAATACCGGCCAAAAAAAGCATTTCAAGTTCCCATAAACAATGAACAAACATTATCCAGATGGGTTAACACTACATGGATGTGCACACTAACCTTGCATCTCATCCTTTGCTGCCTGTCCGTCTGTTCTATTCATGAAGGCAACAAAACCACAATTTCTTTGCCTTCTGCGTTCCTCTTCTGTTCTAGGCCACATAATCTTGACACTAGCAATAGGTCCAAACCGACCAAAGGTCCTCAAAAGAAAATTCTCATCGACCTAACACCATAGCATGTAAAGCTAACAAGATAATGCATACAAGTTTGACGGAACAATGCAGCAGAGAAAGCAACCTTAGGAGATAGATTGCCAACATATAAGTTGGTGGTTTGAGGATCACCATCATCAAATGATCCTGGAAATCTTCCAGTCGGATCAAATTCATCTGGTAGTTCATCAAACCGGCTAGAGGGCTGCACGAAATAATTTTAAGCATCAATGAAAAGAAAAACTAATAATATTCATAGAGAAACTGCAAATTATCACATAAATTTCTTATTAGCTAGACATCAGTTTAAGAACAGTTCAAAGAAGCTGCAAACGTGTTGAAAATATTGATATTCTACATTCTACAGCCTAGTAACTTTAACATATAATATTTCCACAAACCAAACAAAATATTGATTAATCCACACAATCCTCTCGTGGAAGTATGGAACAAAACAAAATAACCATTTTTACACATACAAGTGCCTACCATGGAGCTATCGCTGTGACGACCTTCATGGCGGTGATCTCGATCCTGACTGCGCTTTTTCCGTTGCTCTTGTTCAAACTTAAGTTCCTCCAAGAATTTATCTATTACTCGTGGCTTTCCTTTTTCCTTTTCCTTTGGCCTCTCCTCTTCCTTCTGCAAGTCCAGACAGAGCTTAACCAAAGGAACTATAAAGATTGACCGAGGCAAATCATAAGAATATGGGAAGTGTGAAGTGTCCTAACCTTTTTCTCAGGTTCTTTCGCAAATGATGGTGGCAAGAAGGATGGGACGTACCTGGAGAAAAGAATGCTATGTATAAGGTATCTATGAATACACCTAAGTAACATGGGGTTATGAGAACAACAGAAGCAAAGAATTGCAGATATGATGGTATTTCAGGCATTCTCACTTCAACTCGTGAAATTTCAACTTTGCTATTTTGGCTTATGCTATAACCAAAATCCTGATAATATAATGATGCAAACAATGGAATTAAGATTCCCCAACAAAGCTTGAAGCGATCATAATTTGTATTAAAAAGTATAATTGATCCTAAAGCTTCCACTCCACAAGAATTTAGTCCAAGGACATGAATTTTCAAGTCAATCTAGTCTGGTCACTGAGAAGAGTGCAAAAGTTAGGAGTTCTTCGCAGGAGATCTGTGTATCGTTTCATTAAGAAGATCGAGAAAAGTACAAAGGAGAGGGAGTAAACCTGATCCGGAAAAATCTAAAACACGCCCGCTGAACACAACCCACACCCACACACACCCCTTGAGAGGAATTATAGCCCAAACACACCCCAAAAAAGATACAGGAGTAGACTGTAGACATGTAAATTAGAAGATTCTAAGTGGCTGAAAACTCTGGAACTAAATCAGCATTACTGACATGAGAAACTCTAGCTACAATATAAAGGTACGATAAGCTTTAAAGTTCTTAACAGAACACCCCTAAATATACAGAAAACATCATTACTTTTACATCCCACAAATTTGAGACAGACAAGTCTAACTAATTACCCCTTGACATAGTTTTTAAGGCGTCGCCTAGTCGTCGCCTTGGCGTCCAGGCGATTTTCAAACCTGGGCGTCAGGGTCGCCACGACCTTGAGGGATATGGCGTCCGCAGTCGTCGCCTAGGCGCGATTTGGCATCCCTTTTGCGCTGGGCGGGCGTCGCAGGCGCGGAATCTTGGATGGCGCAGCGCAGGAGCAGCGCGCAGGCGGGAAAAGGAGCAGGGTTTCAGCGCACGGGAAGTCGAGGGGAGTTCCGCGCGCAGGGAAATCGCGAGCCTACACCCCCTGCGGGGCCATGACCCCAGGCCAGCACGTCAATTGAGAGAGGGGAAAGGGCGAGGGTGGTAGGGAAAGAGGGAAAAGGGAAGAGGGTGGCCGGCGCAGCACCTGGAATACACGGTGGTGGTGCGCTGCCTCTGTCCAGCTGCTCCTGCTCCATCGATTTGCGCTTCCTCCGCCGCCGCCGCCGATTCACCCCACCGATTCGTTCCTCCTTCCGATTCTCCATCGATTTGCGGCTCCGATTGGTGCTTCCGTGCGGTTCTCTGTCGATTTGTGCCTTCAATTGATTCTTCCTCCCTCCGCTCCATCGATTTGTGTTCCCGTCTGGCCCGTCATCGCAGGCTCGCGGCACACAGGTAACTCTTCCGCTCCCGCTCTCCACTGTAGGCCTCTGCTCTTCTCCTTGGATATGCTCTGCCTTTAGGATTGCTGGTACATGGGCTCTAGGATTGACAACAACAAGGTATGTTTGTGCTGCTCCATAGTAGGTTATAGTATGTGTATGGTGTCGCCTCGCCGCGCGCCTTACTCGCCTAGGCGTCTGGAAGGGGGTGGGTCGCCACGCCTCGCCTTACCGCCTTAAAAACTATGCCCCTTGACTAGATCCAACATGACTACATTCTCCATACTCAACCTAGCATGCCTAGTACCTTATATGACTACCTTATACGATATTCAACACACTAATCCAAAGTTCTATAAGGTAGACACCTAGCATGCCTACCTGGAACCCTAGAACATTTTTATTAGATGGTCAAAAACACTAATGTCTAATGTAAGATCACCAATGATGAAGCATTGTGACCTCTACAGAAGTGCTAACACCATAAACAAACATGAAATCAAAAGGCAAAACTAGTGTAATACCATCACAAGCTGATGTAGCAACAATGAATTGTTCCGTCAGGTTGAAACTACAGGATAAGTGCAACCGAAACACTAGACATGAAACAAGATGGCATGGCCATTCATAAGACCGGCAAACAATTTTCTTCTTCAGATTACCCTTATCATTGTTTTAAACTGCATTCAGCACTTGGTTACAGTTTCAAAGTTCAATTAACAGACGGTCTAAGAAGCATATAATTGTAAAGAAGAGAAAAGTATGTGCCGAGTATATAGCATAAGGCAATCAAAGCTAGGCCATGTCCCTGAATTCTGGTTATATTGGCTGCATGACCATCTAAAGATGTAGCAGCGGTACCACAGGATACCATCTTCTAGAAATCAAGTATTTTTGCCGTTTACCTACTGCCCTTCTTTGGAACAGACCCCCCATCTTTGGACTTTCCACCTGCCATTGCCGAATGAATAAAAAGGCCGATCTCTTGATCAATTGGAGCAATAAAAGAAACAATGCATATATCCATCTTGGAAGATATTGAAACTACAAAGTGGGAAGGCAACTATGAGGAAGTAAGCAAAAATGAAACCCCTGCCACTAACCTTCTGAATCAGTCTTCAGCTTTGCATTGGGGTCGATCACACCACCTCGGACAAACTTAGCCCCAGATGAGCTATCACCTTTGAAGGACTCAACAAATTCCGCATATACACGCGCAGCTTCATCTTCCTCCCTCTTCACATACCAAAGCAGTCAAAACAAAATATGAACACCGAGTACAAGTGGAAAAGAAGTGTCACATGAAAAGGTTAGAAGGGACTTGAACCCCTAACCTTCTTCCTCGCCTCCTCAGCCTCCCGATGCTTGTGGTACGGAACCTTCTTCGAACTCATCTGGGCACTATCACACAATCATCACGGAGCATCAAAATCAGGGGGCGGAGCCAGTATAGGACATGGGTGTGCGCATATACACCCGATAATTTTTGCAAAAAAAAAATCAAAGTGAGTAAGCATAATGCATGTATGTAGTTGTAGTTAATCAGATCCGAATACAAATAGCTTGCATTAGGGATTAGGGTTTGGGTGCTCGGTTTCGCACAGGAGGGGAAGAGGTGCGGTGGGCATACCTGGTGGGTGCTCGTCGCCGGCGAAGGGCCTGACGAAGACCTGTCGAAGGGCCTGACGAAGACCTGGGCACCTGGCTAGGTCGGCGGCGGCGCTGGGTCAGTCGTCGCCGCCAGAAAGAGAGGCGACGAGAAAGAAAGAGAGCGCGCACGGCCGCACGCGAACGGGAGGAGCCGAGAAGGGAAAGCCAGGCCGCAGCCCGCAGAGGCGAACGGGAGCAATTGGGTTTCGTTTCAACCGTAGGACCGGAACACCCTGCCGCCCACACCCACCTGGTTTGATTAGTACGGTAAGGAAAGAGGTTTATTTTAAAACTATCGTCCTGGTCTGATTTGAACTGTAAAACTAGTCTGATTCGAACTCTAAAACTAGTCCGGTTTTGAACTGGTTTTAAGACGATTTTTATCTTTTTTTTAAATAAAATCAGTAAATATATATACTACATGATGAGGCTATTAAACTATATAAAACGTCTCTAAACTTCTCAAATTTTGAAAAAAAATATAAAATAAATTAGGATACGACGAGTCCAAATAAAATATTTATATTTATACAACCTATAAAAATATCTCAAAGCTGTTGATCCTTTCAATTTGGATGAATTAGAATCTATTTAATAGATTAGCTATTTGGCTCGAAATTTGACATTCCACAATTTTTCTAAGTTCACATATAAGCTCATCTTAAATTCATAGGGTGAGAGATATAAATTGATTCTATATATATCACCGTGTTATGTTTCTACTCTCTAACTTATAGCACATTTAATTCGCTTTCATATAGTAGAAATGTAACAATAAGTATCTCCCTTGTATGGCTAACAATAATATACAAATATATTACATACAGAACCATATTAGCTTTAATTAATTTATGCATAAAATTATAACTATTAGAATGAATTCAATTCTAAGGATCCAAGCGAGCCCTAAAAAATTCCAACATATAGATTTAGCTCTATGAAAGTGGAAAATTGTCAAAAAAAAATAGAAATTTTCTACAACATTCTAATTGATATCTAAATGTGTTTATAAACTTTCCACAATCTAAACAAAAGACGCAACTAGCATGAATGCATTTAGCATTAATGTATGTTTCATTCACGCTAGTTGTATCCCATATTTTGCTCTGCAAAATTTTTAAAACACATATAGATATTTTAATGTTTTTTGAAATCTTCTAGATCATTCTGCATATTTTTCTCATTCTCCTAAAGCTAAATCTAATTGTTCAAGGCTTCTAGAGATATTTTGACAAGCCCAAAATATTTTATTTGGATCCTTCGTATACTAATCTATCTCTAAAATTTTATCAAAATTTTTATAAGATTATAAATATTTGTGTGGTTTATTAAAAACTATATAAGTATTTACATAGTTATTTTGACAAAAAAAATAAAACCATTTTAAAACCACTTCACACTGAGGCAGAGAGGCAATTTAAACGTCTCAAGAATTTAATATAAGAGATGACTGATTTTCATGCTTTAGAAGTACAATTATGCTACCGCAGTTGTTCGTGGAGATAAAATGACCTTTTCACATATAGAGGAATGGATTTTGTTTGGTGGACTTTAATTTTGAAATGCGGTCTGCTAGGCTTCGCATATTGTTTTAGAGTGTATTTTGTTCTGAAGCCAGTGAGAATGGGATGATTCTATTCCAGACTTTAAGGAATAGAACAATTCCATGTCTATGTTTGGCTGGAAGAATCAAATGGTTCTATTTTCTTTGTTTGGTTGGATGGACTGTGAAAGAATAAGATGATAGATTGGTTAGCCACCATGGTGTGACGGACGCCTGACAGTCAAACATTTTATCTTCTTCCCTACCAAGGCCCTCTCTCCGCTTGCCTCTCTCTATCTCTTTGTCTTAGAGTTGTTACTCACCTAAGCACGGGATAAATCTTTGTGTCATCCTTCACTTATGGTTTACACTTTCAACACTTGCTCTTTACATTGTGCATCTTTGTGCTTGTGTAGTTGATTAGCTCTAGTTTGTTTTAGTATACTTCCTCCATCCCTATTTAAGTGTCACAGTGAGATTCGTGCTAGTCGGACTTTCTCAAGTTTGACTAAGTTTATAAAAATATTAGCAACACGTGTATCTCTATATAAATTTATTGTGAAAATAGATTTAATGATTTATCTAATAATACTATCTAACGATATATCTAATCAATTTATCTATGTGAGTAGTTGTTTTTCTTGCTAGAGTAGTTGTTAGAGTAGCTCGTGTAATCGTGTTCCTAGCTTGTTAGTTTTTGCTCTAGTGCGTACGAGTGCTGGTTGAGCTAAGCGCAGATAGTGCTTACTAGAGCTCATCTTTGTTACTAAATTCTTATGCCTAGTTGTATTTGTGCTTTCAATCCTCTCTCTATTCATCAACCCGTTATTTTTCGCACTCACGTAGATTGAAAAAGGGATTAATGTGGGTTCATCTGAAACGGAAATGGGATTTCCCAAAAATGGCCGGGATACTCCCGATATAGTTTTCGTAAATACGGAAATAAAATCATGGAATACAAAAATTGGTGGGACAAAGGTTGAAATGAAACAATATCGAATAGAATTTTTCTCTGCCATTTTCATCCTACGTGGAACCGAGGAAGGCATCACCCAGGTTGACCGAGTTGTTGCTCCTCTAGTGTATGCAAGGATTTGTGACAAGGGTTAACCATACCGTTCCGCTCAAGTTTAATTTTTAGGGGGACTATCTCAGTGTTTGGAATGATACATCCTCAAATTATACATGAAAAAACCGAAGTAGGAATATTATATCTAGATTTTTTTATTATCTTCTTTTCTCTAGTGGCTCTCCTCCATGCAGAATAGAACCTTGCCGAAAACGAAATCAAAGTATAATCATTATGCTGAATCAACAATCAACCCTAAAACAATTGGATACGCCACAAGATCCAATGTTCCTGAACTAGTTTAAAATGCATCTGAAACGATAAAAAACATCAGCAACTGTATCATCGGGTACACCACAAGCTATAGATTTATCACCTCATAGATTCATCATGTATGCCTGATTTTCTCCATGCAGCATCGATGATGAGATGTTCTTGCGGGGAGTGCATAAAGCATCCCTTCTCGTAGATAATGGTTATAAATTGATCTTCTGCCAATAAAATCGACACCTGCAACGGCGATCTTATCATAACAATGACCAAAGTCATTGTACATAACAAGACCCCGACTGAAAAGTATCTGATTTTATCCATACAAACAAAACAGATCTAAAAAATTGTTGCAAAAAGAGATGTGTCTTCTCTCCATGTCATCAACAGGCTCACTGGAGAAGAACGGCGGCAAGGAGGAAGGGGGCAGTTGTGGCGGCTCTTTACCAACTTACGTATCCAAGTCGATCTTGCGCTCTAAGTTTATTGGACATCAACCGGATGGGCTACAATATTTTGCTATCCTAGGCACCCTATGCATCTTCTTGCTGGCTCAAGCTAGCTCGTCCGGACTGACAAACTCGTCGTTGCTGACCCTGGTGAATCGAGATGAGCTCGCCTTCAATTGCAACCAAGCACCGAAGCACGCCCCAAGGCTGCCGGATATATCCAGTCACGACTCATGACTCACGAGCAGGTGGGCGGTGGTCCATTGCAGCTCGGTTCGAGCGGTGGATGGATTGGGTTCAGAGATCTGGAAAGGGACCGGAGCTGGCCGCCGAGGCCGATGTATCCACGTGAAGGCTGCTGCTCTGTCCGTGCTCGGCGAAGCGTACAACGTCCGGCGCTGATGGCGACAACGATAAGCACCTGCGCTTCACTGTCCTGCAGCCTGTTCGGGAGGTCGTATGGCTGGTTTAGTGTGAGAGAAAAATATTATTCCTGACTGAAAATTTACGATCGTTTACAATCATCCACTAGTAGCACAGGCAGCAGAGACTGACCCCACCCACCCCACCGGCCCATGGCGGCTGCGGCTGGTCCCGTTTGGTATGGTTGCTGCGTACTGCAACTTGCAGGGTACCCCTGCGGGCGGCAGACCAAGGAGACACGTACGGGGTACGGCCGACGGCCGTCGCCCATGATCCAACGGCAAGGATCCCCTGCTCTCGCCGTTGTTTATCCGAGCTAGGTGCAAGATTAGCAGAATAAGCGCCCATGATTAGAGCCAGTTATTTGCTTTGAATTGATTGATAGCAACTTCTTTACTAGCTATATAGACTTAGTTATCCACTTGAGAATTAATGCTTGATGCACAATTCAGTATCACCGAGCTTTCGTTGCGTTCATAACTTGATATATATGTACCGTATAAGCCAAGAATTGTTTATAGAACGCATGAAATTGCGGAAGTATGGCATAGTTTTTCTATGTAAATAAATAAATTGATTAATTAGGTGGAAGGTCTCTTCTACATACAAAGATTGTATTAAAACAAAAACTCGGCCTGCGTATATGCAAGTATACGCGCGGCACAAGCGTGCACGTTCCTTCCTTTTTATATACAAGAAAATGCCAGTAGTGCACGTTCCTTATAGAGATGCATAAGCTCTTGGGAGACAGGGGCACGAATGTTTCCTTTGCGGTGACTTCTAATCTAACTACCCGTTTGGATCCTCTAATCTGGATACAAAAATCACATAACTCTAAATTCTCATCCTAACCGTCTTGATTTTATAGGAATTTTAACTCAAATTTTTAGAACCTCGAAATCTAATAAAGTTGTTGGGATTTTTTTTATCTGAATTCTCAAAATCCCTTAGCATCCAAACGGCACCTCATATAGCCTGTGTTCTTTGGTG